AGATTGCTGTATATTCTGTGCTGCAATACATGTTAAGTTTGTTGTACTCTTCTACCTGCTGAGATTTCCAGCTTACCAACTTATGTTCAAGGTATCTACAATCAACACCTCTGTCTCTGTTTGCCCCTGCTAGGTCTGCTACCGTCCCTTTAAGCCTACCAGCAGTTACCTGCTTCCTTGGTACTGCAGTGGTTCTCTCCCTACTTGATGGAAAGCTGTAGGGACAGGAGAGCCAGGAGAGGATCTTAATTGGCTGGTACTGCAGCCTGGACAAGCCTGCCACCAGCAGCCAATGTCAGAAGGACTTGGATTGGCTGTAGAGCAGTCTGCAGGGTACATGGGATGGTGTGCTGCAACCTTGTGCTGCCAAGGCCCCAGGAGACTACAAAGGAGTCTGGATGTGCCTCTCTGTGAGTCCTGGGAGAGAGAGAGAGAGAGTCTTTGCAGTGAGGAGAGCTGCAAGACTGCTGTGTATTGTACCTGGAGCTAAGAGTGCAAAGAGCCCTGGGCATAGGCTATGTTGCTGTGGGAGAGACCATTTGCTGGCGGCAAGAGATTGCCCTAAACTGAGTTATAGGGCACTCAGGGCACATACAATGTATGGAGCAGCTGTCTGCTGCTCAGAGAAACTATGGGGCATTCTGCTGCGGAAAGCCGCATGGTTTCTTTTCTGCTTCTGGGATGACTAGGAATCTAGCTATGCATTCCTATGGTGTTTTTTTTATTTTGGCGGCAGCAGAACTGACCGGCCAATAGAAAACAGTTGGGCGGAGCTTGCTGTCACTGCTAGCTCCGCCCGATCGTGTTTTTTTTGTTTTTTTCTACTCTTTTAACTATTTTTCTTTTCTTTTCTGCTCGGTACCACAAAGGTACGAGCAGAATAGCCGAGCCAAATTTCGGGATTTGACGAAATCGTAGTATGTACGAATTTTCGTTATGAGCAATATTTATTTGCAGCAAAGTGGCATTAGACAAAAGAAAAAAAATTTATTTTTTGTTTCTAGTCTGCAGAAGAAAAAAAGAAGGTGAGGTTCCACCTTAATTGATACCAGCCCCTTTAGGAGGGACACCCCCAAGGAGGGACACCCCCAAGTTAAAAATTAGAAAAAAGGGGTGGGGTTCCCCCAAAAGTCATACCAGGCCTTAAGTCTGGTAGGAATTTTAAGGGGAAGCCCCACCCCCAAAAAATGGGGAGAAAAAACATGAGGTCCCTTTTAAAATTCCTACTAGACCCTTGATTCGAGCACATGCACCCCCGCACCATTCCAGGCCACGTGTTCCCCATTGTGGGGAAGAGGCCCAAGGGCCTCTTCCCCACAGCCCTGGCCTGGTGTTTGTGGAAGTCTGTGGGCAGGGGGGCTTATTTGCATCAGGGTAACCCTTTAATTAAGGGGGCACCAGATGTCGCCACCCCCCTTTTGAATAAGTAAGAGGTACTTGTACCCCTACTCATTCACTAAAGGGTTAAAAGCAAATATAAGTAAAGAAAGCACACATTGTGAAAAAGTCCTTTGATTGAAAGAAAAACAGAGTCAGTTTCTGAAAATTCCTTTATTTTTTTAAAAATGGCTCCATCGATGTAATCCAGCATCAATCATGATGAACGATGCCTGCCGACTCGACGAAATAAAAAAACGCCCGCCGCATTCCGACCCATCCAAACCCAGCGCAGGCTTGCCGCAAAATTACTTCTCTGGCCCGAATGTAAACAAATGGGTTGAGTGAGCCATGACATCATGTGGCTCGTTCCACCCATTTAACATTCTGAGCTATTCAGGAGCTCCTGAATGCCATTCGGGTCTGTGAGCCGAGGTGTCATATGAATGGTATTATGACACCTCTGCTTACAGACCCAAATGGAATGTGGGAGCTCACGAATAGCATTTGGGGGTTCCCGAATGCTTTTTGTGTTATTTGACAAAAAAGGTAATTTTTTTTTCTTTTGTCTTATGTCTCTGCTGCAACGGAAATTCGTACATACTACTGCTAACGAAAATTCAGATTTTATTTTTTTAAGTTGATGCTTTATACAATAAAACTTCATTTTATGAAAGGAAATTGGAAAGAAATTCAGATGCATCAAAAATTTTTGTCATCGGAAATTCGTATTTGTTTGCATCCGTTATTTCTGTCATTCAGAAGTTTGGATGCATCTGAATGCACGAATTCCCGAAAATTTTTCCGAAAAACGAATCTTTCCGAAACAAGTCTAGTGGCTATGCTATTTTTTTATCCAGTTCCATAAATCTCAACCTCTTTATCACTAGTATTGTCATGCTGATTGGTGATAGTGTTGCATTTTATACAAATATATTGGTGTTTTTCTTTATTATGTACTGTATATCATAAGTGTTAAAAATAAATTTATTGATGGTATGTTATGTATGCACTTTTTCAGACCAGATATGGCTATGATTTAATCCCACTGCATCCCATTCTTATTAGCTATCTTTGATACAGACTCTACAATCATTTGAGGAGAGTGCATATGTAGTGGATAGATTTTGATTAGGGATGAACAGATACTTTTCAGATACCAGTGCCGATACTTGGCATTTTCATGAACTACCAGGGTTGCAGCGGTTGCAGCTGGGACCTGGCTCTGGAGCTCCACCACTGTCCTGAAATCATTAGCCTGTATTGTTTTAGAAAAACTGTCACATGACAATAAACAAAAATGTATCAGTACTCGTACTTGTAAGTACTCGGCAAGTACCAGTACTCGTACTCACAAAAATGGTATCTGTGCATCCCTTTATTTATATTTATAAAAACAAAATCATACATTAAAACAGAGATGTACAAATCCCAGGAGCTCTGTGTGCTCCTTACAAATGACAGCTGCCTCCTAACTTTTGAATTTTTCTCTAGTCTAGTCTTGGAGCTCAAAAGTATCGGTACATGTACTCGTACCGAGTACGGTACTTGGTATCTGTGCAACCCTAATTTTGATTATTTTGGGGGGCTGGGGGTCAAACTGGAATTGTTATCCTGTCTTGTTGTCAGGTTATATCGTTAACAAATAAATAATAATTTGTCACAGTGTTATTTCAACTGGTATGCAGCTCAGTTTATGTTGTCAGGTCACATCATCAGCATTGTAGTCAGTTAATTTAACCTCCAGCACTGACTGCATTATACTGAATATGTTCAGGGGACACAGCAATCTATACTGACAGTTGTACATTTAAGACATTGTTGATATTTGCCTATAACTGAAAGGAATTCTGCAGCCAAGATACAAAGATACAATTATGAAGATTAAAAAAGTGTGTTTTATATTATTGGATTCATATACAGTAGTTATCAGAAGAAAGCAGCCATTTTAAATGATTGCTTATTAGAAACATGTCATGAGAGAAACATGGATGTTCCTATTGTTGAACTCCACTTCTAAATGCTAATTGCCTGCCAGTCATGCTGATCTGCTTGCTTCGATGCACTAAGTCTCTAACCTAGAGCAAATATGCAGATATGAACATACATAATTTCTCTGACATTCCTGAGCTTCATTTTAAAATCACGGCAAAGGGGTTGATTTACTAAAAGCAAATAATCTTAGCTTAGTGTATGGGATGACAATTTGCTTTGCAAATTGTCATTTGCATGTAAGAAAACTTTAAAAAACACTGTAAAAAACACACTGTATTTTTGCTTGCACATAATTGTATAACGGAGGTTAGCAGAGCTTGACCTCATTCACTAAGGGAAAATGTACCCACAAAGCGAATAGCCAATATGACTTTAGTGAATTACCCCAGTGAAAATATTAGGTCAGCATAACAGCCAGAAAAGGGAGAAGGTCAGCAATGGAAGATGCCAAGTTTTCTTCATGAAAGAGTTACTTTAAAGTTCGCCTATTAAATATTGGTAAAACTACGACTAGCAATCTCAATCACTGAATGTGTGATGCTAATCTAGGTTCTTGCTCCCAGGTAAGTAAAATAAGTAGGGCCAGGAATACACCTGACGCACTGTGAATAATTTACTAAAAGAGCACAGAATATTGACTTAGCAAAGTAGAAACAGCCAAATATGTTCAAAGCAAAAATCTTGTTTTTTTTCAGATTCCACTGCATTTGATTGGGCATTCAAAGAGTCCAACCGCATTGTTTAAATCTAAATGTGCAATGCCTTGTATGTTTCAGCTTTATGATTAAGGCTTCCCAGCTGCTCTTCTATTTCTGATAAGAATAGAGAAATATATTTATATATACAATACTGCCAAGCATCAAACATCGGACTGCGGGGAAATCTAAAATTCTAAACGAAGGTGATACAAGGATCGCTGAACAAGCAGAGAATAACTATGACTGCCGAGAAGCATATGTATTAACATTCTTTAATCAATGCAGCTTTGCCAAGTAACAACACAAACATTTTGTTAGAAAAGGGGCAAGGACACAGACTTGTGTAGGTTACATAAAATTATCCACCATTAAAACAGAAACCATTAAAAACTATCACAGCTAAACAATGAGCACACTTTAACCATAAATTTAAAGAAAAAAGTAAACAAATAACCCTCTCAACACAGACGCCTGTATTTTGTGGCCCATTTTTTAAATGGAGGACAGGGAATGTACTTACAGAGTTCTCTCTGCTTCATGGTAGCAGGAAGAACTTGGTGATTGGAGGGGGTCATGTGACTTTGACAGATTCTATGACTGAGCCCTTCTCCCTGGCTTTTCTTTAACTCCCATTCATAGTAATTATGCTCTGCCAGCTCTAAACTCCTGAAGCTAGTGAATATAATGCTCATTTATAAACCATATGGCCGTGGTTAATAAATGTGTGTGTGTGTGTGTGTTTTTTTTCATGCAGCTATATGGCTGTGAGATTGCTTTAGCACTACTTTTTAAATGCACCCCTTAGTCTCGAGGGGCCCGCACCAGATGCAAATGAGGTAGATGGTTACTGTTTGGAAGAAGTATCAATAAGTGCCTGGTTACTGCTAGTTGAGTGATGCCAAAAACTTTTTTTTAATCAATTTATTTGGGGGATAGGTCACTTTTCTAGAATAGTTGCACTTTAAAATAGAATTGAACTAAAAAAGTGAAGATTTCCTATGCTCTAAGAACAATTTTGAAATTTGAATTGTGCCTAATCAGTGCCCTGTAAAAAAATACATCTTGTTTAGAATTCCTCCTGAAAAATAGCAGGGCAGTTTCTTTTATGTGAGGGTTCTTAGGCACTCCTGTGCATATGGCCTTATAGCTGCATATCTGTAATGTGAGATCTAAGGCACTGCTGCCTCTGACTGCTGGTCTCAGGAGATTTGGAGTGAGGTTTGGTGATACCACTACTGTGCTACTCACTGTTCTCCTTGGTGGAAGTTTTGACACCAAGGAGAACAGCAAAGCCTTGCTTCTACCATGATTGCCACCTCCATACAGAGACACAATGCAGAACAGGGCATGGTAGGGCAGTAATGAGGAAAAGATCAGCAGCAGGGAGACCCCAGGCAATGTCGGTGACAAGTTTGTTACCCTCTGCCTGCTGTTCTTGTTTGTTTTTAGGCACAGCTTCCATAGCTCAGTTCCTGTTTAAGATATGTAATGTTTGTTTTCATTTAACATACCAGTAAGTTTGTATATACAGTATTGTATATATTGTATTTTATTACTAACAATTAGCAATTAAGATTGTCACATACCATGTTCTGCTGGCAGAGCCGGAAAAACTGCTGCACTTTCTGAGACATCAAGAGCTGAGAGCTTCCAACTGCACTGCGAATCTTCTCCAAAACTACAAAACAAAAGAAAAGCGTAAGAAGTTTGCAATTTGCCTTTCCTGCATAGTTGCTGCTCATTTTTTTTTGGGGCACTGAAAGGGAATGTATGGTGTTGATGACTATATTCTCCTTTTTATGTTCACAGACACAAAGAAAATGTTTTGTCACTTTTAGAAATCAGGATTATGTGAAGTATTGCATAAATATTTCATATTAAGTTAGATCCAGACAGCAAATACTGCTCGGTGCCTTTTCAAATGTTTATTATGCGAATCTCAACTTTTACATAGTTACATAACAGATAAGGCTGAAAAAGACAAAGATCCATCAAGTTCAACCACTGTGTGTGTGCAAGTTTTATGTTTGATCCAGAGGAAGAAAAGACAACTAATGCTATACCAGTATCTCTCACACTCTTTGTTAAAGCCAAAGTACCCAAATAACACAGGTTTTTTTTTTTAAAGTTACATTTGTCATATGAACAATTCTGGTAGATGCCCCCTACATACAAAAACATTAACATTTTTGGAACTTAAATAATTACTGATATATTCTTTAGATAGGATTTATTATAAATGAAGAAGAATTACACCGTGAACTTATCAGAGATACTCCTGAAATACACATACCACTGGTTAAATTCCTATGTTCACAATGTTTGAGCAATTGTATAATTATTTTCTAGCACTAGATGGAGCTCTAGATTCAAATTATCTGGCTGAAGCTAGACTGAGAATTATTTGATGCAACCAATGTACAGCACAACTATTTTTGCCAATAAATAACAAAAAACATTGACTATATTTTTGATGTGACCTGTAGTCGATGAACATATTTTGCTCTAGTACATCAATAGTTTCAAAGTTATATATTTCCAAGAAAAAGCTCAGGAATGTTAGTAAGCATATGTGGCTTCAAATTTCCACAAACTGCAACACACTCTGTTGCGGCCTCAAATTAGGCTTTTTAAAGACAATCATCATCAAGCTCAGAACCTATTCATTTATTTGCACTGGAAAAAATGCACATTCTTATTGAATCCAATGCATTTCACCAACATAGCAAAATGTGCTACAACATCCAGGATGGTGAAGCAAAAATTCTCAGTTACACTAATCCCTGTTCACTAGCTTTTTCAATATAGCTCAATGCTTCCATTTTTTAGATTATTTTTTTCTACTAACTCTTTTAAATAAATCAAAATGTGCCCCTACCCCTGGAAAAAATACCAAGTACACAAGAATGTCCATGCCAAATTCAACTGATCCACGCCTACTCTGTAAAATTTTGTAAAGGGATATACAGAATAATAGGTGGTGGTCTTTCCCATTTTTACCACCAAAGTCTGGTGGCGAATGACCCAGGAGATATCAACAGATTTGACAATGTGCATAAGCCTTGATCACAAGATGCATAATTCCTCCATTGAGGCTCATTTTTAAAGCCTCCATAACAAAAGGAATTAGTCCTCTCTAAGGGCAAAAGGTTGCGGAAGAAGAATCCCAAAGTCTTGACTACATTCAACATGGTGGCAATCCCTCACAGCTATGTAAAGAAAATGGGCATAGGAAAGGGAAGTCTATTTCCTCTTTAAATTAGAATTCTGAACCAACCTTAAGAATGAAGCCTGGGAGAATATGGTAAGCAACCAAGGTTGTTGCTGTCAAGAAGGCTACATCCTGACTAAATAGGAGAGAAAGGCTTCTTAATGGGATTTAAAGGGAGAACCCTGAAGATCTGTGAAGGTCATATTCAAGTGTCTTAGGGGAACAATCTGAGTGCATGTTTGAATTTACCTTTGAATGAAGGTTCTGATGTGAGGCATTGGATATAAGAGGATGCTGCATAAGTAAAGAACTAAAAATACTGAAAAAATGTGAATGGACTATGGATTAAAGGTTGACAAGATTTATTTAAAATCTCCAAAAGAGAATCCAACAGAGCTTCCCCTCTGGCACCTGACTTGGGCCCTAATAGCCACACTGTTGAAGACAAGGGTTGGATTTACTAAAGGAACAGACAATGTTCAATTTGCAGTGAATTTTCACTGTACAAGGGAATTTTCCCTTAGCGTAGTGAATGTGGTGAAAAGTCCATTTGCAAAGAATATCCAATCACGTGCAAGGAGGAAACTTAAAGAAACACAGGATTTTTGCTTGCAGAAGAATGGATGATTAAAGTCAGCAGAGCTGCACCTCATTCACTAAACTAAGGTAAAATTCCCTTGCAAAGTTATAATAGCTGCAACTACTGATCCATACTGAACAAATGTAATTAAAAGCAAGGACTAGCTTGACAGAATAGAAGGATAAATAGGTACAAAAATAGAAGGAAGGATAAAAAGGTAAATCCATAACACCCAAGCATGAATCAAAATCCAAAATGAAAATTCACAGAAGTCAAATGTCACTTACCTTTTCTACTCACATAAACAATTGATACAGACTGCTTTTAAATGCAGTTTACCTGTTAACAATCATGTCATATGGTAATGTACTATGATGGTCTTTAGGCCCTCATACACTTCTGCAAACATTCAACAAGCTAATTGACTGAGCTGGGGCAAAAACTGGGGCAAACTGTTTTATGCATTCATGGTCATGTAAAAATGAACACAGAGCATTTGACAGTAAGTTTAATGCAACCCTTTGAGATCCCTTATACGGTTGCTTGCCACTTTGATATGCAAATTAAAAGCTCTGCTAATAAATGTTTGAAAACATTCATGTTTGACCTTTTTCAGAATATGGGACACTCTTGTCCTTTACTAATCACATATAAAATGTATATTATTTATTGCAAGTACTTTGTCATTTCCTAAAGCTCCAATATTTTCCCTATTTGATTCCACACGAAAAGAACATACAGAAGCCCTAAGCACACTGACAAATGTAATTGTGAACGGTCTCTAACACAGATAGAAAGCATTGTGCAGCATACACCAATAGCTGGAGGTGGCACAAGGTTTAACAAGGAATGCAGGCACATTATGTATCCTAATAGTTTTGTATGTCTCGGAGGGTGACTTCTTTTTGAATATCTTGTATTAATATGTAAGGCCTTTGAACTTAGTACTAAGGGCAGCTCTAACACAATGATGTGAATATAGGGTTACAAGCTAAAGATAGCAGATGAATGTGGTCTTTGGTATGGAATTTAAAGACTGCTATCAGTGGCATCATATTAGTGCTAACACTTAATTGCCAGAATCAGGTTATATGTCAGAAATCTGGTAATCTGATGGTATTCCATTAGCCGTGCTCCTTTCTCCTAATGTGATGATGTTCTTCCAATCCAACTGAGGCAACATAGGAACACTAGTTTATACAGGTGCCTTACTGTTCTTTTTAGAACAAGTGTATAATAATAACAATAATAATACAGAAAGAAGTAATATAGGAATAGATAGTGGGCTCAATCCAGTCAACACAGTTAATGTAGCAAATAAGTTGTCAGAAGTGAATAAAATAAGAAACGAACAACCAACATCAAGGCCAAACAATAAAACTAGTGGGGAACAAGTAGGATATAAACTTTTGTCCCATAACAAGACAGGAATTAAATGTATGTACACCAATGCTAGAAGTCTAGTAAATAAATTAGAAGAGCTTGAAATTATGATACTCGAAGAGGACTTCGATATAGTGGGTATATCGGAGACCTGGCTGGACGGCACACATTATTGGGCTACTAATATAGATGGGTATAACCTATTCAGGAGGGACAGATGTGGGAGAAGGGGGGGGGGGAAACACTTTCTTGGAACAGATGGTGGAGATTCCAACTAGGAAAAATGCCGTCCTCGATTTAATAATTACTAATAATGGGGAATTAACCTCCCTGGTGGTATTCCCGAGTCTGGCTCGGGGTGAATTTTCAATACACTATGTAAGTGAAAGACACGGTCAAGGACAAGCTTTTTATACCAAGAATGATTATCCAGCTTTTAGCGTGACCAAATTTTACCCAGATTCATTCAAACACACAATCACTTTCTTTTTGTGTAACTCTGTACTATACAGGTGCAGGAATCAAATTTCTCATGAAAATGCATATTGCTAAGAACTGTTGTTATACATATTATTACAGTAAACTCCCCATGATATGGCATTCAAGTGACCGGCATGCTCAAGCAACCAGCAAAAAAAAAAAAAAAGAGGGCATAATATGTCTTCGATTTTTTTTGGAGGTTGCTTGATAGATATAGGGACACTAAAAAATGTTGTTAAGAAAATGAAGGAAGGAAAGAATATTTCACTAAGGAAATTCTTTGTTTACATCTTGCTGCAGTTGGCAGCAGAATGTAAACAATGGAGAGCAATCGCCTGCTTGATGTTGGCTATTTCAAATTGCAGTAGCCAATAGCAGTCTGGCTATTGAACCCACCCACTGAGCAGCAGAGTGAACCTGAGAGAGAACTTTCTCTCTCAGGTCTGCTCCTCTGCTCAGTGGGAGGGAGCAATTGTCAGGCTGCTATTGGCTGTTTCAAATTGCAATAGCCAATAGCAGGGTGGCTATTGAACCCACCCACTGAGCAGAGAAGTGGACCTGAGAGAGGAACTGAGAGAGAACTGGCTATTGCTCCCACAAACTACTCACTGTTTCCATTCACCTGCTGGCTGCAGAATCTAGGCGACAGTTTGAACAGTGCTTTACAAAATTAAGGGAGACAGTACAATTACAATACAATTCAACACAAGAGGTTTAGGTGGGCCCTACTCATAAGAGATTAAAAATCTAAAGGGAGGGGTAAATCATACAAAAGACATTCATTGTGTGGAATGAGCTAATGGAGAAAGTAAAACTACATTTCAGGTGGCAGATAGGCTTCTTTTAAGAGATGAGCGTTTAAGGATCACTTAAAGGCAGACAGAGTAGGAGATAGTTGGACAGATTGGGAAAACGAGTTCCATAAGAAGGGAGAGGCGCTGAAACATGCTGGTGGTGAACATGGGAAGAGGAGATGAGAGAGCAAGAGGGCAAGAGATCTTGGGATGAGTAAAGGGGATGATATGAGTGATATTTTTAGATGAAGTTGGTGATGTAGATGGGGCAGAGTTGTAGATTTCTTTGTATGTAGTTGTTAGTAATTTGATTTATTTTTGCTGGATGATTGGAAGCCAGTGGAGTGATTGGCAGAGATGGGCGGAGGCCACCGAGTGGTTGGTGAGGTGAAAGAGTCCAGCAGCCGCATTTATGATAGACAGAAGGGGGAAAGACTGTGTATAGGTAAGCCAATGGGGGTGATTTACTAACCTAAACACACGCACGCACCAGGTGTGTGTGATTTTCACACAGCAAAACGTATTTATCAACCAAAAAGTCTCTAAAAGCATATTTCCACTAATGCCATATATGGAAAAATAATGCACATAATACATATATAATGCTGCTTCACAGTTTAGACAAAAATGGTTAGCTCATGCATTTACATTCCTGCATTCATCAACGCAAGCAACACAACATAGAGCTAATTTACACAACATCACCTTGCAATTCATGCAAGGCTTTGCACAACACACCTGCTGGGTGTGTACACACTACAAAGGTGTTTAGATTCCACCAACAGATCATGCTGGGAGGGAACACACTACAGAGGTGTATACTTGTTTGTGGCGTGTTTATAAGGTTAGTAAATCAACCTCAATGAGTTAAAATAGTCAAGGTGAGAGATAACAAGGGAGTGAATTAGCAGCTTTGTGGTGTCATTTGTTAAGAATAATTTTTTAGATGTTGCAGAGATGAAAGTGGCCTGAGGGGAGAGATTGGAATTAGGGTTTAGTTAATGCGTACAAATCAGTTTTATTAAAGTTAATTTATAACACATCACATGACTAGTTGTTTGACTTATTGTAATTAGGGTCATACTGATAAATGACTGCTTCATAAAGCTAAAGACACACCAATTTATGCCCTTCTGTACAAGCTTTTCAAGCACTTCCTGTCACATGATTCCAGAGTAAATACTAGAGTGAGCTATTGGAAGTAAAAGCAGTCTTATATTAAACCTCAACTACAACTACCAAATCTTTTTTTTACTTTTGGATATCCTTGGACAAAGGTAACAATCCCGTCAAGTTTTAATTGTTGTCCTTGAGCCCACTTGAAGATTTTAGTAATAATCAAAAATCACTGCGCTGGGAATGAGTGACTCGAAATCTAAATAACTAAATAGACCAGCAGCAACTTTGTGTATAAGTGAGTCTATTATGTGGCAAATAAGTTGCGCTCGGTTTCCCCCTTTGGGTTTTGAGAGAGCACTTTCACATCCATTCACAACTAGACCGAGCGCAACTTATTTGCCACATAATAGACTCACTTGAAGATTTTACCACACATCCCGCCTCTTTGACACCAGGACAAGAAATAAGGTGAGTAGTTGTCACTGGGGCAGGAAGACAATAATAAATACCTGACAGTAGTTATAAACCATTCCCATTTTACTGAAGAAAGTGGTTTGTTGCAGTCTCTGTCCAGACTGAAGAATTCCTGCATCACTTGCTACCTAGACAGAAAGTTGAAAGAATATACCCAACAGGTGCACAGACAGCAATAACAGTTTGACAGAGGTCAAGCCCCTTCCCTATTTTTTCAAGAACAAAATAAAGGGTTTTGACTCAAGTTAAACTTTAAGCTGGATATAACGGGTAATAAGTATCCCTATTGTCATTAGGTTTATTACATTGTTTCCTGATGAATATGTGACATAGCAATCAATATTATATACCTATGGGGTTGATTTACTAAAGTCAAATAGGCTGTTGTTCACTTTGCAAAGGAACTGAGCTAAGTTTGCCTTCAGCTAAGTGAATGAGTGAAGCTCTGCTGACTTCCATCATCCAATCATGTGCAAGCAATTGATCACGTGCAAGTTTCTTGCACCTCATTGAATAATTCCCTTGCAAAGTGAACATCCTATTTGCCTTTAGTAAATCAACCCCATGACTCTCCCATATGTGTTTACACGACAATACAACAGAACTTACTCTCCTCTGGTAGGTCATATTCCTCTGCATCTCTTTCCATTTGTTGACACCATCCTTCCATCCTTTCCACTTCTGCCTGCAACATCTTGATGAACCACTCCCCATCACGGTGACAAGGAGATGCTCTTCCAGAGTCCGGGAGGCTACGAGTGGCTCTGTCCATCCATGATTCTTGGCGAGCTTCCTCTGCTGTATCATACTGCATTTGATAGTCCTCTCTGTACGCCCACTGGCCCTGTGTGTGCACTGTCTTATACACTGAATACTGCTGGCTGGTGTCTGAGGGCTCAGAAGAATGGCGCTGAAATGAACATCCAAATTGCAGGCCCTTGTCTTCAGTGGGAACAGTTAGTCCTGGGAAGCCTTCGAGCTCCAAGTCAGCTTGCACTCCAGCTGTTACACTGTTAGAACGCTTAAACCTGGCTTTCCTGATGATAAATAATATCGAAGTTAAAGAAATATAAGCTGCAACATGGAAATGATTTACTTGTTTATTGTAAATCTTTATGGAGAATTCAAAATTCTAATCCACCTACTCAATAAAATATAGCAATAAATCAACTTCAACATTTGTGCTTTTGTCATTGTATTACAAAATACATGAGATAGTAACTTTCTTATCAGGTCAATTTCACTAGTAAAATCAGAATAACAAGGAGAATGGGAAGACATGAGATAAATTTCAATTTGTAATGCAAAAGATAATTCTTTGTATCTCTTTCTCTAGAAATCCTTTCTAGACTGATTCAGGGCTATTGCATGCTCTTCATGTTTGTAAAAGGCTTAGCTGAGACCACACTGGTTGAGCTGACTGCATACCGTAGACATAGACTAACTAGATGTTATCTCAAAGGTATGCATTTAATTTACAGAGTACCACATATGATAATGCCATCTCAACTTAAGAATGAGCATATAGGGTACAGGTCACTGACTTTTGAATGGCAGAAGACAGGCATTGGAATATTTTGATATTACTGTGAGGTGAGGCTATGGCTCAATGGCTGCTGGCACGGGATAGAGTAACAACGATATGGAAGGGGTTACTTTCGTGTTAGGGAACCATGTAGGAAATAGGCTAGTAGTAAGATCCAATGATAGGCAGATCATTTATCTGTTAAGCGTTAAGATTAGGACTATGCTCTAGGCAGTTTAGTGTTAGAGGGGAGGTTAAGCATTTAAACCTACTTTGGCCACACTTTGCTTGATTTTGTGCTGAGTCAGCTGAAATTCCAGCAGTGTGTGGCTCTGTCAACACCCCTTCATTTCACAAAATTACATTTTTTAATGGAGCTATGCCACATTTTTTTTCTGAACAGTGACTGCACCCAAACAGCTGCAGTCCTTGCTTTGCTATTCTGATAGTGCACGCCTGCGCAAACCAGATACCCTAGAGCAGTGCTCCCCAACCTTTTTATCGCCGCGGACCGGTCAACGTTTGATAATTTTACCGCGGCCCGCTGAGGGGGGGACGTTGATTGTTTATATTTTAGATTGGAATCACCTGTCCCGATAAATCCATATTTCAAGTAGGACTCATGGTATTGTCTGTTAAAAGTTACATGTTTCTTTGATGTTGAAGGCCCTTCTTCTGTCTCTTCACTGGGCCTTTTCTTTTTCCCAAGGAAACTTTCTAACGATGTTTGTTTCGTACTCATTTTTGCTAATTTGTGGGTTAAATTTGAGCAAACACAATATACACGTACACCAAGCACTGTTAAACATGAGAAAGTACCGGTGAACAGAGAGAAGAGCGATACACACCTTCTCTTTACCAAAGCTACAACGCCACTGCCGCTTGCAGCCGCTCAGCTCCAGACGTCACCTAAAACCGCCCCGATATCACGATATTTTGCGCATGCGCGGTATTGGTGCGGCTTTAGGTGACGTCTCTCAGCTCCCGGTTAACCTCTCGTCCTGGAAAGTCGGACAAAGCCGAGAGAAATACACCACAGTAAATAAAATGGAAATAATTTAATGTTCCTTGGGTGGCCCGCGGGCCCGGGGGTTGGGGACCACTGCCCTAGAGTACACGTTGTTTACAAAAAATGTGTAAAGAATGTGTACTGGCCCTTTACGAAAAAAACTAATGATGTGGGGTCCGCCTAAAATTGATAAAACACCCATAGTAAGTTATGCAGGGCGGGAGCAGCCAAGACCCCCCTCCTTGCAGGGCACCTTTTCCCAATGTTATTGTGTTAATGGGGACAAAACAAAGGCTTTATATACACTATACATTATATATTCCAATCGATTACTTTTACTGTGCCATCTCTGTAACCATAATTCTTTTTGGGTGCTACAATCTATATTACATATTACATCCAATTACAAATTGCAAATAAGTACATTTTTACATGATTAAATTGTATTTTTCATATATTTTGTCTGCAGTCTAACATAAGACAGAAATGTCATGTAATTATAATAAAATGAGTGAAAATGTTCTTCCCCCTTCAAATTTTGCCAACTAGATTGTAGACCCTACTATAACTCTGACCCTGTTTTCTGTACATATGCTGTATGGTGCAAATAGCAACCTAACCTTTAAACTATTCATAAACCATACATAGCATGCCATATACGTTGGGGTCTATTCACAAAGCTGCAGAAGGATCTAGCCGTAGCTTCGGCCTATCCTTTGGCTAGCTTCGGCCCCAGGACCCCTTCCGTTCAGTAGAACTGAGGGGGTGCTGTACGGGCTATTCACAATAGCCCGTACAGCTCCCGAACCTTGCCGAGCGGCTCAGTCAAGCCGAACGCATATGCCTCGGCTGATCCGCGCTGAAAGCCGAAGCTGGCCGCCTGCTTCTGACAGCTGGGCGGAGCAAGCCGTGATCTTGCGGCAGGCTCCGGCCACTTGCAGAGAGATGAGCGTCCCTGGTTACCTGCTAACCAGGGACACTGATCTCCAAACAGCAAACTCTCCCTGGCGCTCCGGGAGTCACCCGCTCCTGGCCACCAAGGAGAGAAACACTGCCATTTCTTTTTTTTTATTATTCTGACACGGAGCTGTCAGAATAATTTGCCCATTGGAATGCATTGCTAGATTCATATTGGCTATTTCAATTTGCAATAGCCAATAGTAAACTAGCATTGTATCCGCCCTCTGCTGCAGTTCTCCATCAAGTCCATCAAGAACAAGATATCTTCAGTAAAATCTACAGAAATAAATGATTTATTGTATAATTGATTTAATCAATATATCCCTCTGGCTTTATTGTATCGACTAAGAAACAGCTGAAAACTGTAAGACTGTGCATATGTTGCATATTGTGTTAAAGTTCATTTTACACCACAAAGGGAGCTGTAAACAAGAATCACAGTTGTAAGCTAACTCTATCCCCAAACAGATCTTCACCCATTGAATAACAATTTCATTAAGCACCGTAACTGAACTGACCACATATGCTGCTTAGTGGAGCGTTTCCACATTTTGTTGTGCTAAAACATGGAATTACTTGGGATTTAAGATGTTTATGGTTTAATTCACAACTGGAATGTACAAAATATTTAATTGTTCCACATTATTTAAACAAAAATCAGGCATTCATTTTCACCCCAACACTTCCTAGAACCACCGTTGGCTGCATTTAACCCTTTCGCTGCCAAGCCCTCCGGAACATTT